GATCACCAGACATCGCACCGTCTTCACAACGCGCGTGATGCGAATGATCCGAAAGGCTTTCAGACTGGAGACGCCAGCCAGGCTGCCCAGACCCCTGGGGCGCGGATGCGCGGCCAAGGGCTATGCTGACGATGAGTGGGTGTTTCAACCTAGCCCCCAAAGAAAAAAAAGACACACACACACATATATACATTTATATATAAATATATGTGTATGTATGTGTGTGCGTGTGTCATTTCACAAATATATATATATACATATATATATATATACATATATATATATATACATAAACTAACTATCTATCTATCTATCTATCTATCTATCTATCTATCTATCTATCTATCTATCTACTAGCACCGTACTTAAGTCACATCAGGCGGGAAAAGTCACATCATCCCCATGGCACGGCGGCGATACGGAGAAGTCACATCAGGTAGTGGAAAGTCACATCAGGGAAGAAGAATCACCATGGCACAGCCTGTTTCATCCATACTTGGAGATGTAGTTAAAAGTAGCCGAAGCATTGCGCACAGCGATGATTTTGAAGGGCACAAGCTAATACAAACAAATTCTCGGCAGCTAATCCTATTGGATTTGAATATATTATATTGATGTCCTGCGTCGCGTTACCAAATCAAACCCCTATTGGTACAGCCTCAAATTTCTTGCAATGCAAGTGGGTTAGCTGTAGCAAATCCTATTGGCAGGGCTATGATCTAGGATGATATAAGGATATGGGGGCCCCTTGTTTTCCGCAACCAAATCTATGGCTGGCGCGATGTCCACCAATGTCGTGGACAGCTCTCAAGAAGTTTGTTGTCCTATCCACCCAGGAATTACGAATTGGAAAAAAACCTTCATTCCATTGCGGGCGGAAAGCGTGGCAGGTTTTGTCGGTGCTCCGTCTGCGCCGTCTGTTGTGTCTGTTCCGTCTTGCGCCGTCTTGCCGTCTGCGCCGTCTTGCGAGATGGTGCGAGATGGCGCAGATGGTGAGCACAGCGACACAACCGCGCTATGCGACCGCAATGTTTCATTCCAACCAGCCAGAAACATTCCCTCTCTCTGCTGGTGTCTCCCGCCCGTACCTCCCGTCAGCAAGCAAAAGCAAGCAGCAGCAAGCAGCAGCAAGCAGGAGCAAGCAGCAGCAAGCAGCAGCAAGCAGCAGCAAGCAGCAGCAAGGAGCAGCAAGGAGCAGCAACAACAGGCAAGCAGTAGGTGAGCAGTAGGTGAGCAGCAGGTGAGCAGCAGCAGGTAAGCAGCAACAAGTAGCAACAAGTAGCAGCAAGCAGCAGCAGCATGGAGCAGCAAGCAGCATGCAAGCAGCAGGTGAGCAGCAGGTGAGCAGCAGGTGAGCAGCAACAGGTAAGCAGCAGCAAGCAGCAGCAAGCAGCAGGCAAGCAGCAGGGAAGCAGCAGGCAAGCAGCAGGCAAGCAGCAGGCAAGCAGCAACCAGCGTTTGCCCCCTTGAAAGAATGATCAAATATATTTTTTAAAAATCAACGCAAGAAAAAAAAAATGAACTTTTTCCAGGCGCAAAACAATGAAATCGTTCAATTACTAAAAGTTGTGGTGATGCCAAACTGGAACTTTTTCCAGGCGCACGGCCTCCCGATACGACTTTTACAAGCTGATACGACTTAACGCTAGCGTTAGTATCTATCTAATTACGTAAATATACACATCTCATATCGTATATCATATGGTCTCTCTCTCTCTTTCTCTCCATATGTATTTGAGGTCATCAAAAAAAATGACTCTTTTTTTGGCCTTCAAAATCTTCTGACATCACCAGTGGCGCGATTTACAACCATGTTTAATCAATGTTTATAAATGTTGATCCTAGCCTCTAGGTTTTTGGAAGAGCCCCAAATTGCGATGACTATTGGGCTGATACAATATTCATCTGCAAAGCTTGAAGCATCTGCAGTTGATAGCTGAAGCACATCATCCAGTTCAGCGATTGGTTCCATGCCCATATTGCAGCCTATTGCAGCCTATTGCAACCTGCATGTGCATCATGTACCGGAACTATCCCGAAACTGGAATCAAACAGGAAGATGGCCTAAGAATGAACAGCCCATTCTTATGTGGAAACTCGATGTTTCAACTCCGCTGCCCATCTCCATAGCTTTCATGGATCGATGTGACAAGGTACCAATCCAACATGGGAAATCACCGGTTTATTCGTCAGATTTCCATCTGACTGCCGGAAGGCATATCCGTATAATTCTCTGATGTTGGGAAAACAATATCGCATGCCCAATTTCACCATAAATATATAGGTGATATGTTTACCATTCCCAGTCATATCAGTCATGGGTGGTAAAAATGGCATTGTTTTCCCAGAGTAAATATCTGGTTCCCTTCACCATCCTCCAACGTTTCAACTTGGAGGCTGTTCCCCCAGCATGTGAGTAAAGTCGACGATGATTTCCCAAAGGGAGCTGGTGACAATAAAAATGTCCTCGGCGCAGGGTGAGACTAGGTCAACTTGGCAAAAGCGAACATTACAGGGATCTAATCCATAGCTCCAGTAAAAACCCAACAGTTTGCCATATAAAATCATATATATATATTATATATATATATATATATATTTCTATATTATATATATATATATTTCTATATATATATATATGTATATACCCCATTTAGTTGGATGATTTACAAATCAAATCCATGATGATTTGCCATATATTTCCTGTTCAACCAGGCCGAGGCACCAAACAATTCCAGTGCCAGTCATCTGTCCACATGAAGCCCGTGAGGCCGTCAGCTGCACGGATGCGCAACAGCAATTCGATGGTGAACAGAAAGGTGTAGAGATATTGAACCACGCCTCACACGATTTCGTTCAGGCGAAAAAAAGGGGAACCATGGAATACAGAAAAGATGCAAGCACATTTATTATAATGTATATATTATATGATATATATATATTATATATATACCATATATACGGTGGATTTACCAATGGGAAAAAAAAAACGCGCCATGACCTTTGCTGAGCAAATCTAAGACACGAAATGCAAGGTACATACCCAGATCAGGTGTTCCAGGCGACGTGCTCATCTCCAAATCAATGCCTGGTGGCTGCGTCTCAAAATATGTTTCGCGTCTCCAAAAAGAAGTGGATCAACATGACATGAGTCACTAAATTAAAAAAATATTAAAAGATATATTTAAACAAACATGGTCAACCATGGTCACACGTTTTGTTTGTCCAAGAGTTTGGGCTGAAGGAAAGAACATCCTGATTTTTCACCCAGGTTCCGATGAAAACAGCATTGGTGATCACCACAAATCCAAAGAAGGCATCAAAGGCCGGATTCTGCACCATGGTAGCCACGCGGTTCGGCATTTTCTGTCCTGCCCCAGGCCGGAAAAATGGCAAGCAACAACCACTTTTTGGGACAATGGGTGGTTTTCAAAGCGTGGCTGGCCTGCGAACTCTCCATATATATCTCCCATCTTCATTGCAAAATGCTCAAAACGTGCTCCAAATAAAAGACATTCTGATGCAAAGCCTGCCACAAGCATCATCATCCTTTATGCCCCCCTGTGAATTTCGGGGGTTACATCAGGATCGTCGTTCTATCACCCCCATTGGGGCCCTGCCATTGGGGGGTGCCGTTTGCCGTTGCACGCCCGCAAGGGGCCTCCTGCGTCGGAGCGCGTCTTTTGACTGGCGAATTTCCTCCGCGAGATCTGGGCATCAGCGGAATCTGTGCACGCTTTCAGCTTCAGGTCGTGACTGGCGAAGCTGACGTAGCTCGGCACTTCCAGGGATTCGTGTTCCTCGAAGCTTTGGTGGGGGTGGGCCGGGAACTCGAATGATTTCAGGACGGAGTACAGCGGTACTCGTGGTCTTGGGGGGTTTCAAAACCAAATGCTTTTCATTCATGGTCTGGAGAAATTAGAACAATTCGCCCACCTGAAAAGTCGGCTCGTTTGGGATAGTTACCATATACATTCACCATCATTCCAGCGATGTCGCAGTGACGTCCTTATAATTCATGATTCATCATGGTTTATGCATGCGGGTTTATACTGCTTTATAATGGTTGATATTGGTTCACAAGTGTTTGTCAAGAGACTTCAAGTGGTTAGCACATTGTTTATTATTGTTTACATGTCCATAAGATCCAGGTCTGTTTTTTGCACTAAATGGGTGCTTTTTTCCAGCGCTCATGTGGCCTTTTACTGTCACACAGCGAATCCATGCCTTGCCAAGGCAAGGGCGGTCGCTCTCGGCACTTCGCTCCATGTAGGATAGTCGTCGCGGCGCATCCCTGACCAACTTCTCAAGAGAGAAGAAGCGGGAATCCAATTTCTCGACCATTTCCTGCGTGGATGCCCTAGAGGTAACCTGCAAACAGATGTGGAAAACCCATGGAAAACCCTTAGGAAACCGATCTACAAATAGTGGATGTTTCACATCTATGTGCCGCTCCCAACCCCGCGGCCCCGCGCATCCAAGACGCTCCACAAAACCTATCAGAGATTCCTAATGTTAGTTTACCCGAGGGCACATGTTTTTTTGGTTGCGGGGAGGTTTCCAAGATGAGTTTCCTGTTTGGAAGATGATTCCCATGAAATATCATGAAATATCAGGGTTGCATGCTGACTTTAAGTGGGTGGAGGGAACGAATATGTCAATCATGTGTGGAAATTTCCCTGGTTCCGAACATATCCCAAATCAATGACCATAATATGCAAGACTTGATCGGGAAGGACTTTGAGACTACGAAACCAACAAAAATATCTCGGAAGTCGGAAGTCCTGCTTTCATGATTTGTTTGATCACAACTCAGATGCGGTTGGAGATCCTGAAAGTGATCGGTTTGTAGATACTGTAGCACTGAATAACTTAACAACATGAGATGCTTCCAAGAAACAAGATTCAACGGATTCAACGACTTGGATGAACTCGACTCTTAAGTGCACCAAAAATATACCCCGGTCCGACGGTCCCGAACCTTCATGGCGCCTTCTCAATTGGTACACTCCCAATTCAACAACCGAATAAGGTATATAAACGATTCCAAGGTTACACTACCCCAGAAAAGACATCATGCAGCAAAGGTTTACTGTACCCAGTATTAGTATAGATATCAGTGGGCCCATTAAATCCACATGTTTTCCCCACAATCTCCCATTAATTAACTATCATGCGGTAGGCAAACTCCCTCACTCCCCAGTGAATAGGGAATGTAGATACAATATGATACAAGCAACAGTTTCCTCCTAACCACCGGATAATTATAATCAGGATGTTTTTGGGAACTTGAACCATGTTTTTTCCGAAAAATACCATATTTTGCGGGAATTACATGGATTTGTTTCAGACAACTACCATATATGTGGGATTTCAATGGACAAACATGTTCTTTAAAGGAACCGGGTTCCTGGTGTTGGAACTCCGTTAACGCCCGCAGCGCCGCCAATTCCTCTGCCAGATGCTGTGCCTGAGCCGCCTGGCCAATTTGTTTGGAACCGATGGGGTATTTGCGGCTAATAGTGATGAATTAATGGTGAATAGGAATAGGGGTTAATAGTTGTTAATCAATGGCCATTAAGTGCTATTCAATTATATAATGGTTAATTAACAGTTAATGGTGTTGTGGGGATGTAGATGATAAAGAGTATACTCAGACTCAGAGTTCGGTATACTTAATTTATGTAGTACTGTATTGGAATTATGGTCATTATAATTATAATTGTCATTGTAAAATCGTATTAAATAGGGGGGCCAATTATCGAAGGAGGTTTAGAAGTCAAACTTCCGACAATGTGGACAGATGAAAAACAGAGGTGGACCGCGGAGCAGAAGCATAGAGAAGAGCAGAAGAGAGAAGATCAGAGAAGAGAAAGAGTCAGAAGAAAGAATGCAGGTGCGCGAAAAGGTAGGAAAGTCGCGAAACACTGTGTTTTTCCAATGATTTGTGGCTCCGGAGGGTCGAAAAGTAGGCTCGCTAAAGCGGCAGGTGCGGAGCCCGTTGGCCAGATGAGAGATGAAAAATTGCACGCCATTGTGGTGCGAAGCAAAACACACCATGCTCGGACCACTTTTGGAAGTTTCAATGTCGAAAAAGTGCACGCCGTTGTGGCGCGAAGCACGTTTCGAAGTCAAAAAGTACAAAACACACCAGGTTTGGACCACTTTTGGAAGTTGAGATGTCGAAAAAGTGCACGCCGTTGTGGCGCGAAGCACATTTCGAAGTCGAAATGTTAAAAACACCACATGTTCGCGCCACTTTTGGACGTTCAGATGTCGTTTCGTGGCAGGTGCAAGGGATTGTGCACCTTGTCAAAAGTGAGGAAAACCTGAGGGTTTTGTAGGATTTCCAAAAACGATGGCAGGCGTGGGACATTTGAAGAGGATCTGCAAAGATGCATTTTCCGTGGCAGACGCAGTACAAGAGGCATGTTCATCAGAGCTGTTAGGAGGTCCGGGCGCTGATTTCCTGAGAGGGGTTGCATTTTGGAGCATCAGATCTTCAGGTTTGCTGAGATGATTTTGCGTGCCAGGTGCAGCACTTCGTATGACCTGGCATCACTTTTTCGTGGCAGGCGCAGTACTTTAGACAGGTGGACTGGAAAAATCGCAAAACGCATTGGCACGAGGCCGTCAGCTCTGCACTCAACTTTCCATTTTTGGAGGAAGTATCGCAGAATTGTTTCGTTTTTGATGTTGTCAACTTCGAAAATGAGGAAGTCTCAAAGAATTGTTTCGTTTTTGATATTGTCAAGTTCAAACATTGAGGAAGTCTCGCAGAATTGCTGCGTTTTAATGTTGTCAAGCTCAAAAACTGAGGAAGTCTCGCAGAATTGTTTTGTTTTTGACGTTGTCAAGTTCAAAAATTGAGGAAGTGTCGCAAAATAGCTGCGTTGTCAAGATTGCAGATAGACAGATAGATAGATTGATTGATAGGTAGATAGGATAGATAGGATAGATAGGATAGATAGGATAGACAGGATAGATAGGATAGATAGGAAAGATAGGATGGATAAGATGGATAGGATAGCTTAGATGAGATTAGATTAGATTAGGTTAGATTAGATAGATAGATAGATAGATAGGATAGATAGGATAGATAGGATAGATAGGATAGATAGGTAGATAGGATAGATAGGATAGATAGGAAACCCCCTGTCAATTAAGGGTTGGGGCTGTGCAACCATTTTGTAGTGAAGAAACGGCCTGCATAGCCTCAAGCTCTACTAAATGGATGTGCATGCATGATCGAATTTCACTACTAAATGTGGGCCCCTGGTTCAGCTGAAGCGCAAAATTTGGATATATTTTCAGAGTGTCTTAAGACGCCAACATGACTCGACCAAACACCCTGTTCCATTTAGTAGAAGTACTCATTTGAGCACAAGTTGCGGGACCAACATCACTCGACCAAAACCCCAAAGCCATTTAGTAGAGAAATACACGGGGTCCATTTAGTAGAGAAAACAACATGAAACACATATGACTGATCCCATGACCATCCATTTAGATTTGGCATCGCCCCAAAAAAACGCAAAAAAAAAACAAACACGAAAGGCAGCACCCGAAGAGCAAGAAACACCCAAGCGAGGGATTTGGCATCGCCCCCAAAAAAGGCAAGGCAGCACTTGGCTAGACAGGGGAAATCTTGATAGAATTTGGACATTTTGGGACTACAAAATGGTGTTGCATAGCGCGTAAGGGATTATAGGGCACACAAGGATGCAACAGGGCTTTGTTTGAAACAGTTCTAGATAGACTGATCCCATGACCATCCATTTAGTAGAGGCAGCACTTGGCTAGACTGGAGGCGGCATGGCAGGATACCGCAAGGATGCTATCTTTGTCCAACTTCTGTTGTTTCATATCGCGGTATACCCGATCATGTTGATTTACTTCAACCCAGGAATATCTTTGATATTCATTGGCATTATAGAATTTATATTTATTTTTCAAGCTTCTTATTTTTTTGAGCATCTATTATCATATACTATCTGGATTTACGTGATTCATCCTGATGGACATGGATTGGCCAAACGACTATCGGGGGCAACGGAATGGGAATCTCTACTAAATGGTTTTTCAGTTTTGTCTCGTGTCATTGTGACCGTTTTATGAACTCTACTTCGCAACCTCTACTAAATGGTTCCTGTGATTTTGCAACAAGTTTTTGACATCTCTACTAAATGGTTTTACCCAAAAAACAACATTTGACATCATATGATTAACATATCATTTTTACCTCACTACTAAATGTGGATCATGGGTCTAGAGATGTTTACTTGATTTTTTTTTGAAAAATCATGATTCTCTACTAAATGGTTTCTGGAAATTTCACACTAAATTTTTGGTTCACTTTCCGGGACCTAGGTCATAGCATTTAGTAGTGGAAATTGGCAGGAGGATAGATAGGATAGATAGGATAGATGGGATACAAAGGATAGATAGGATAGATAGGATAGATAGGATAGATAGGATAGATAGGATAGATAGGATAGACAGGATGGATAGGATAGAGAGGATAGATAGGATAGAGAGGATAGATAGGATAGATAGGATAGGGTGGGATAGGATAGGATAGATAGGAAAGGATAGGATAGATCAGATAGATAAGATAGATAAGATAAGAAAAGATAAGATAAGATAGATAGATAGATAGATACATAGATAGGTAGGTAGATAGGTAGATAGGTAGATAGATAGATAGATAGATAGACAGATAGATAGATAGATAGCTAGATAGATAGGATTGATAGGATAGATAGGAGAGATAGGATAGATAGGATAGATAGGATAGATAGGACAGATAGGATAGATAGGATAGATAGGATAGATAGGATAGATAGGATAGATAGGATAGACAGGATAGATAGGATAGATAGGATAGATAGGATATTTAGGATAGATAAGATAGATTAGATGAGATTAGATTAGATTAGATTAGGTTAGATTAGATAGATAGATAGATAGGATAGATAGGATAGATAGGATAGATAGGAGAGATAGGATAGATAGGATAGACAGGATAGATAGGATAGATAGGATAGATAGGATAGATAGGATAGATTAGATGAGATTAGATTAGATTAGGTTAGATTAGGTTAGATTAGATAGATAGATAGATAGGATAGATAGGGTAGATAGGATAGATAGGAGAGATAGGATAGATAGGATAGATAGGATATTTAGGATAGATAGGAAAGATAGGATGGATAAGATGGATAGGATAGATTAGATGAGATTAGATTAGATTAGGTTAGATTAGATAGATAGATAGATAGGATAGAGAGGATAGATAGGATAGAAAGGATAGGGTAGGATAGGATAGGATAGATAGGAAAGGATAGGATAGGATAGATAAGATAGATAAGATAGATAAGATAGATAAGATAAGAAAAGGTAAGATAAGATAGATAGATAGATACATAGATAGGTAGGTAGATAGGTAGATAGATAGATAGATAGATAGACAGATAGATAGATAGCTAGATAGATAGGATAGATAGGATAGATAGGATAGATAGGATAGATAGGATAGATAGGGTAGATAGGATAGATAGCATAGATAGGATAGATAGGATAGGACAGGAAAGGATAGGACAGGAAAGGATAGGATAGCAAAGGATAGAGAGGATGATAGGATAGATAGGAAAGATAGGAAAGATAGGATGGATAGATAGGTAGATAGATAGATAGATCGATAGATAGATAGGTAGATTGATTAATAGATTAGATTAGATTAGATTAGATTAGATTAGATTGGATAGATAAATAGATAGGTAGGTAGATAGATAGATAGATTAGTACGTAGATAGTCAGAGAAAGAGAGAAAGAGAGAGAGAAAGACAGGAGACCTCAAGTCAACCACCTTTCGGTCCATCAGTGGATTCGCTCTACCATCCGTGAGTCACAACAACCAACCTCTCCTATACGTTTCCTATTTTTGAAACTTCCGCCACCGCCTTGTGCGGTACTACTGGTAAATATACTACGTATTGGAAATGATAGATACTTGTCAATAATGGTTAGTAGTGGCCATCAATGGAGGATGAAATCTGAAACGTAATGACTATGAATTGCAAGGTTCATCCCCCATTACCCTCAAGTGCCATCAAACATTGCTGTCAAATTCCCTAGAAATGGAGATTTATAGCTGGGAAAAATATCGAATCAATGGCCGTTTCAGACCCTAAAAGGGATGTGCTGTACCTCTCATCATCTCATTTAGCTTCCTGAAAGGGCCATTGATCGAACTCGGGGGGGCAAGACATGTTTGAGCACCAAAGGGTAACCCATATTGCTGTTATCCTATGACAAAAATACGAAGCAACTGCTATATAAATATGTGATAATAACGAACAAAACATTTGTATTATTACGTAATATATGTTATATATATGTATATATATAACTATAACCATGTGACCAGATGATATCATTTTAAAAAAACACCAAGCAGATCCAACCAGCGTGATTCGCGACATCCTAGTTTTTGTGGCATAGTGATCTAGAGGGATCCGTTTTTTGGCGAAGCTACCAGCCATCAAAAAATCTACCCAGCAGTTTCGGTCTGTCACAAAATCCCATCAATCTTCGAGACTTCTGGAACAAGAGGGGCCCGTCAAGCCCGGCCTCCACCATGGCGAAGTGAAGGGCGCGGGGACCAACCGGTCCCAAAACTCCAAACTGCAAGATGTTTGAAGCAAAAAAAGCTGGAAATCCACTGATCCCGCCAATTATTGATATTGGGATCCCGCCTGCGTCCTGACCTGAGGGGTCCCCAAATGAGAGTCAGGCCCATCAACAAGAAAGGAGTTTACCCATGCACGATGGATGATGCCACCAATAACATAGAAATCAAAAAATATGAGTTGGCCCGAAAACAGCGGAAAAAAAACACCAAAAAGGGTGGGGGGTTGAGCAACTAAGATGAATGAAAACGGAGCAATTCAGTGCAATGGAGGGTAATAAGCCGATGCGCTTCGGATCTGCTCAAAACAAACGGCCATTGGATAGCACATGTTCCCCAGTAAAACCCAGGAAAATAGACCATCGACTTTCAGGTTTTTGCCGGTTTGTGCCATTCCTTCAGCAAATGACTGTTTGCCATGTTGCCCATGACACTTTTCTGGTTTTCGAGCCCGCTGGCAATGGAATGAACTCAAAGAGTGCGTCGCCGCGGAACTAACAGGACTGGTAAGTCTACATCGTCTATTGCCCAAGATCAAGATGCAAGCAGTAAGAAAAGGGCAAAGAAGAAGTGGGGATAGTATCGCTATCAATGGCACAATTATGGACGGTTACAACCGTTCGATACCGTTCGACTGGGGTATATTGGGATAACCTCATCCAAAATGCCTTCCCATTCCCCGTCTCATGGAATCTCTCCACTTGTGACGTGGTAGTCTTTGCCGCACCGGCTTTTGCTGCATGGTGGCACGCAAACAATCCGCTTTGGGGGCTACAACATGTCCACTGGCGGTGTGAAGGCTCATGTTGCTGGTTCTTGCGGCTGCAAAGCAGGCTATCATTATTTTGGAACAGCTTCACATCGATTCGTCTCAAAATAGGGCGCCACTAATGAATCAACAGAGTAGCATGGTACTAGTATATTAACACCATCTTTTGTAGCTTGCGCATGATTACATAATGTTTTATATACATATATATATATTATATATAGCACATTGATTCATTTTTCTCTCTCTCTGTGTCTGCATCGCCTTCAGAATCTTCAGACCAAGTTTGATGCATTTGGGGATCCTCATTTTGTTTTTTTTGACCGCACATCTACCCTTTGAAAAAGAAACGACCGATTCGACCGATGCAGTTCCTGCATGGCCTGGTCTGTGGCAAGCCGCACGCCTCCAAGTCGGCCCTGCTTGTGGTCATTAGGATTACCATGAGTTACCCGTATTGGTAATTTCAGATATGGAAAATCACCGTTTTTAATAAGTAAGTCAATGTAAGTCATCTGTAAATACGCCATTGGAAGTGCTGGTGCGACTGGTGGATGCGCCACGACGGATCATTGTGAGACCTGCGGCCTGCTTGGCAGCATCGCTATTCAGGAGATGTAAAACTGTAGAATCATCCTGAAATATCCATGGAAACACCATGGTAGACTGGAAGACAGCGGAACCACCTCAGGCACTTTCCATCCATTGGCTGTGACCGAATTTCGTTGTGGAACGTCTTAGAGCTCGCGCGTTCGCGCGTGCGTCCCATCGTCGTTGCCGTGGATCCTTGACATGCTCGGGCTGGTGGCTGAGATCAGATCCACCAGCCCCGAAAACCGAAGTTGCAGGGAGTTCAGTTCCTCTGCCACAAAGGATTGGAACTTACTTTGGCTCCTGTTGCATCGCATGGCAAAATTCAATACACTATATCAAATGCATCAGGATTGATGTCAAGACCCGACTCAGTGACTGGGAGATCTGGCTGCTCATGAAAGCTAAGGAAAATTCATGAAATTTCAACGGCTCTTCCTGCCAAAGAGTGACTGGGCGGATGCATGCAGTTCATCATACTAATATTTAGCACCTTTCATATAATGTGGTTAAAACATTTTTTCCACCCATTTGGGAATGGTTTATATCACCTATTTAGGGTGATTTGGGGCATGGTTTAAAAATGTTTTTACCACATCACACAATTATAGACATACACATTCAAAGCCGGTCCATTCCGGCGTGGTGCCTTGATTCTTGGGAGTCGCAAACGCGCCTCCTATGACTTCGGCCCAAGAATCCCACGAATCTCTTGGTTTTTTAGTTGTGGATTTCCCTTCATTTTGATGATCCCAAAAGTTGGCGGTATGTAAAACATCATATCAGTTGGTTATTATATATATATAGCTCTACATTTTTATACATTTCCGGATGGTTAAACCATCTGAACCCCCCCCCATGTCCGATGCTCATTCGGTCGCAATTCCATACAGATCCACAGTTCCCAGCTCCGCCCAGCCGCCGTGGCTCCTGATGAGCCACTGCTGATCTTGAAGCACTTTCCCCACCTCAACGGCCCGCGCCTGGCCCCGAAACCTCAAGCAGCCCTCAAAGAACTCCTAGCGGCGGAGGAAGTTTTCTTAAGCAAAGGCGAAGGTCGAAACTAAGATAGCTTCTGATCCTGGGGGGTGGTAAGATATGTTCTGATCTTGGTATGGATGTTTAAGGATGTTTATAGGTGTTTATAGGTGTTTATGGGTGTTTATGGGTGTTTATGGATGTCTATGGATGCTTATATAATGGGATAAAATGATATAAAATGCGAATGCGTGGCTTGCTGGTTGAGTGGCTTGAAGTGGTGATGATCCCTTGGGGACTTTCAGTGCCGCCATTCACAAAAGTACATAAAATTGGACTGTCCCTTCATCAACTGCACCAAAGATTGAAGGGCAACACATACTGAGATTCTGAGATGCGAAAAAAATCCCTGAAGAGATCAGCAACAGGCATGTTCCTACCATCTTCCGAACCGGCCCAGTCGCTAAATGGTTTATCCTACCCCCAGATGAAAACCAATCATTTGTATATTATATATTTGTATCAATTCGTATCCTTCCCAGTAATCACAGGAATCATGTTGTCTTGTTCCCAGTGATGCCTTTATGGCGTCCCAAGAGTTGGAAAATCCTGGGCCAAGCATATCAGTCATGATTTTTTTGTAACCCCTCAAAGATAGAAAAAAGTAAAGTCCCACAAAAATCATGTAGATCATCCACCACTTTTCTATCTGGGGGTACTAAATACTATTTAACAATCTCCCAAAGCCATCCTAACCCCAAGCTCCCCAAGCTGCATACGGCTCAGCGTCCTCTGCCTCCACGCAACCGCCACCGTCCGCATCCAAGAGTTTGAAGAAGGACCATGCGTCCTCAGGGCGTTGTGGGAAATGGTGGGCCATTTCTAGGTGTGTCCTACCATAACAATGACACCTTCCCCAGCCTGGAAACCAAACATGTCTAGCTGGAAAATCACCCGATTATATAGACTGTAACCCCATGAGCAACAGATTCATCAGGATTTTGATTGCCATGTGTGATTACAAATCATGATATTAATAGCTATCAAAATGAAGAACTAAAGAATATGATATGATTTAGTCGGCCAAAAAGGATGTTTAACCATCAGAAAGTAGAACCATAAGCTGTAGGTGTGTCCTACTTACTACCGTCTTCAACCCACGGAACTGGTATATTTGCCTGGAGGATCATAATGCACAGATACATATTCCACATGGTAATTAGTGGTAATTGCAGATGACATTGTAACAGGGGGATGGTAGGATAGGATTAAAATTATAACTATAAGTATTATAAGTATTATAAGTATAGTCATTATAAGTATAATTATAAATATTATAATTCTAACTATAACTGATTCGGCATTATTAGACCGCACGGTTCAAGTGGGATGCGGTCTGATCCGACCAACGGCCAGCTGGGTAGCAGCAAGGCCCCAAGAAAATTCCTGTTGGATCATGCCGGCCACAGGCTCTTTGGAGGACCTATATATATATATACACATATATATATATCTCATCAGATATAGATATATAGATATATAGATATTTTGATATATAGATATATAGATTTTTCGATATAGATATAGATATATAGGTATATATATATATTATATAGATATAGATAGATAATTATAGATATATTGTATTTGTATATTGTAGACCTTAGAAGATCTTGGAACATCTTAGCATTCCTTTTTGGTGTGAGTAACCGACATGTAACCAGCATCAAACCCTCGCGGGGGTTGTGAATCCCTTTTGGGGATAGCGCAAAGGCGGGATGGGGGCACTTTCGGGTCAAACTTGGGGCCACTAAAATCCAACGCTTTGTGGTCTACAGGTAGTCCACCACCAAGTGTCTACGGTTGACGTCGGAAGCACCCCTCAAATGGATTCAGTTGGATCCAAATGACAGAATTTGGCTCGTGGCTGAGTCAATGTTATGATTGTGGTTTCACAGTGGTAGAACTGCACCTAGCCTGCGATCATCCCAGTCGCTGTAAAAAACAGCCTAAATTGAAACTGGTGGTTTGCTGATCCCACCGAATAACGTGTCACTTTTGATGAACATGAACGCACTTACGGCCTAGAGTCCGAAGTATATTATGGCCAGTGTGTGGCTACAATCCACCGAATAAAGTGTTGTTAGTCTACATTACATTCAGAACTTCAAGGTCGAGACATGATGAACATGTGTGATACTCCATACTCATTGCACTCGGTCCTAGGGAAAGATGTAGATGCAGCCAAGTATCATAAACGTTGATCCCCAAAGTCTCGAAATACTCTCCTGGGCAGTGTGTAAAACAACAGTTGCTTCTTGTATATATAAACATGGCAATGGAAAATGGAAAATCCTAGCAGTTTTCATAGTTCATATTCCGGGAGGTTCACAAAAAAATCCTGCCATGAAACTGAATAATGTGAAAATATGACTTGTCCTGGTGGGAGGAAGATGTCACAGGTATTGTACCCATATCCAGATCATGAATAATATGCAGTAAAATTACCGCGTATTTTTCACCCAGCATCGCACAGCCGGGTCAGCCATTTTTTCTTCGAACGCATGGAAGGTAATGCCACAATCGGTGCCTACAGCAGCACTACTGCGGGGCCACGGGCACTGGTTCCCTCCGGGCAACGGAACCAATCGTTTTAACATGTTTCAAGTAATTCCGTGTTGGTTTGCATCCAGGGTCCTTCTGCATTTGTTCAAATCGAAAACCCTGCAGACACACACACACCACAACAACTGAAAAACAAAATGTGGATTTTCATCACGTTTGCTGATCAAAAAACGGAACAAAGGTTGTAAAGCGGTTTCATATGATTTCATCCACCGGGTTGTTTTTCCATGTCCGAACTCATCACCTCAGCACCATCCACTCACAGTGCGGCCAAGTGGCCCAACTCTTCAAAGAGAGTTCGCAACCTCTCAATATGTGCTTCCCGATTGTCAATCAAAGATTGCGCCACCGTGAGATGGTCGTTCTGTGCGCTCTCTATGGCACTTTGACAGAAAACGCCCGTAGTATTTTGTAGATGATGATGTAGACAATGACGCTGCCCGCACTTGCCCGCAGCCGCAGCGCAGGCCAGAGGCGATCGCCAGAATAGAATGGAGGTGGTTCTAGTCGTCGTGGCGCTGCAGCAACACATCAGCACGTGTTGCAGCTGCAAACCTTAGAAGTTTGTTGTCATGGTCCACCTTAGTAGGATCAGTAGTGGGCCATGCGAGTCTTTCCTGCAGCACATCGTGGGGTCTAATAGTAGGATCACGGTGTGGGTTCTGAGTACATTCCCAAAGCATGTGCTGCACAGTGGCACAAACATGTTGGCAATAAGGGCATGTTTCTTCAGCACCTCCCATGGCATTTCGACATTGAGGTGAAATGAAAGCACCAGTTACAACAGCCAGTTCGTGACTGTTGAGTTTTTTCTTGCGCAGAATATTAATGCGGGTCAGGTCACATGGAATGTCTGTACAAACCGTTGAGTCGCGTCGGTCAAGTTCCAAGAATTCCTCATATTTTCTGATTCGCCAAGCATCTCTGAGCCTATGTGACAGCACTTCGGTCGCCTTTTCAGGCAGCGTGGTTGGTTGAATCTGAATAGTTTCAAGCATCGGGTGCGTCCAGGTCCAACTACCAGCCTCAGCGAACCCAAGTTCTTGCATGCCTTTTCTAAAGCTACCCATCCAGCCACTCATTTTGGGTGGCCAGTTTTGCAACTGCGTCTGTGTTTTGTGAACATAGCGGGTGAGGACTCGGAGAGTCGTAACCGTGGCAGCAAAACCTAAGTCCCACCAATGGCCAGTAAAAATTTGGAGTAAAGGTACGGGTGACTGCTTTGGCCACTGATGCAGCGCTTTTGCTCCCTGAAAGAAAGCGTTGCTTTCAGCATGAGTGGGTCTTCGAAACAGCCATCCCCAACTTGCTTTTGCTGGGGCACAAACCCTGGCAACTGCAGCTTTACGTGTTTTGGAACCTGGGAGGCACCTACATTTTCGAAGAACTTCTTTGGCCTCAGTGAGTCTTGTCAGTTCTCGGTCTTTGGCTTTTCTTTGGGTCACTCCCATGAACTGGAATCCCAACAAGGTGATGGAAGTGGAAACTGTTTCTGGAGGACAGCCGGCATCCTCGAGAGATCGGCAACCTTGAACGTTGCGGGGGTAATATTGCTCTTTGGTGGGGTTTTCTTGAAGACCAACCTTATTGCTCCAAACATGCCATTCATTTCGAACTTGCCATATTTCAGTCGCAGTGGAACAAGTGAAAGAACGATCATCGGCATATAAAGCTTGAACGCAACAAGGGTATTTTCTCTGAATGTGATTGGCAATGGGAGTAAGCAAAACACACATGCCTAACATGCTAAAGCAGTCCCCTTGCGGCAGGGAGCGCTTGACAACATGGTTGTTTGGGAAAAATTCGTCATGGAGCTGAAGAAAACGGATTTGTTCGCTCCACATGCTTAACAACATGCGTGCAGCTTTGCGCGGCATACCTTGGTGGACAAAGAGTTTGCAGATTATCTCAGGGTCAGAATAATCGAAAGCTTTTGTCAGGTCAAGTGTACCAACCGGCCAGCTATGCATGTCTTTGAGGATTATGTGAGAGATAGCATCCTCAACACCTTTTTGGGGAATTCCCCCAAACATGAATTCGGGGGTGGATGTGTGGATCCATTCCTGAACCTCAGTTTGTTTGAATTTGGCTCGGCTGCAGATTCGCCAGATTATCGACATCACAGCTATGGGACGCATGTTGTCCGCCAGCATGCTGCCGTCAGCTTCAGGTGGTTTCCCTTTCGGGATATGCACTTGGCGAACACATCGCCATATGGTAGGAATGTTTCCGAGCTCTTCACAATGATCATAGAACCCGGACATGACCTGCCACATTTCGTCACTGAACAAACTAAGTTCCTCAGCTCTCCAGCCGTCAAGCCCCGGCGCACTGCCGCGGCTACACTTGGTGGCAGAACGGAGTTGTTCCGGTGTGAGGCTTGGCCAGCTGTCAGGAGCAGGGCGTGGTGGAGTGTGAGTAACCAAATCATCCCAAATATCATCCCAAGAGATTTGACGTCTATTCCAAATATCGGCCCAAAATTCCCTGAGAATCCTCAGGCTGTCTTGGGTGGAGTGACTAGGAACAGAGTCTTTGGTTTTCTTAACCGCATTGCACATGGGAACAGATCTATGTCGCAGCCACCTGTATGCAGCCTTGTCATGTTCCATGTTGTTTCTCCATCGTTGAAGTCTGGTGTAGTCATCTTCATGATTGAACCGTTCCAAAAGCGTTTCAAGATGCCGAAGGTTCTTTGTATACCCCAATCATGGTTGTACATAGAACACCGTCTGATTTTATTCCAGAGAACTCGGCTTTCAGTGATATTTTGCCTGTCTTGATCCAAGTTTCGCTGGGCTTCCCGCAACCTTCCAATCAATCTGCGCAGAACTCTTTGGCGGTGAGTAGCCATAGCTCCAGCAGGATGTCGTTTCATGTGTTCTTTCTGTTTAAGAGAGACCTCAGTGGCCTTTCCTTTCCTCAGTAAGGCCGGAGACACTCGCTGCAGCATGTCAGGGGCAGCAGCCCTGACTGCACAAACTAGGGCTTGAAAAAAAGTTTGCGAAAGCATCTGCCAGTCCTGGTCAACATTGACTGACCATCGCTCTGGAAGTTGTGTGGAAAACTGCGGCCAGAGCTGAGCCAATTTGATTTGGATTCGTTCAGCAACTTCCGGGTCCGTCGGGAGGATTCTAGGAATGTTGGCTTGTTGGAAACCTAAAACAGGTTCGGTAGATAAATCGAAAAAAGTTTTGACAATTTTGTGGTCGGCTACAACATCAGGAAGCGTTTCGACCTCAGTAGGCTCAAGGTTACTGATATAGTAGTCAATATCGCGGTTTCCTTGCCACCGCGTTGGGGTTTGAGTGGCATGAATACGAAATTCCCTAGGAATCAAGAAATGAAGAAAGGGATTCTCTTCGGGTGTGGCATTGTAATCCCCCCCAAAATAAAACGATGTCTTGGAGCGAGAGAGTGGACAGTTTGAGCCACAGCTGCACTCACGGTTTCTGCATCACTGTTAGGAGCCAGGTAAGTGGAGATGACCAGAGTTGATCCCACCCACACAGCTTGGGCACTACCTCCTTTGTGAGTGTGTGACCAGGCCGGTCTACAAGGTAGTGAAGATTTAACCAAGACTGCAGCTCCTCCGTAGTGTCGATTGACGGTGCTTTGCGCACCGGAGAAAAAACTTCTGTACCCCACAGACCAACAAGTTTTTTGAAATGTGGTCCATTCAGCCTGGCTAAAAGAGCATTCCTGAAGCAGCACAATCTGAGGTGCCTGCTCCTCGGTTTGGAGCAGCTGTTGTAAGGTCCACGATTGTTTGGGTCCTTGAGTGTTGCATGTCCAAACTGACACATGTTGATCCAAGTTGCGCAATTTTCGTGATCTTGGTCCTGGATGGGACGCTTCACCAATTCTCACAGCAACCTTATCATTATGGTCATGTTCTTTGGCTCTACGGCTGCGCTTGTTGGAGGATTGGGAGGCAAAAAGCTCCTCCCCCTGCTGCAGAGTCTTCCCCCATGCTTGACTGAGGGCTTTTTTTTGGGTTTTAGTTAAAGACTGCCAGTATCTTTTCTGAGACTGGAAACCTTTGGAGGTGGGATCATGTCCCAGGCATGGATTCGTCCAGATTTTGACAGCAACAAGTGGATTAACCTTGTGGCAAATTTTACAGGTCAGGTATCCCTTGGGAAACTTTTTAGCAGTGGAGTCTGGGTGGCGCATGGCATCCGGCGGAAGGGCCTCAGTAACTAAGTGCCCTGCAGCTTGCGCCGCCTGAAAAGTGGTGGCAAACGGACCGCTAAGCCACTTGGCTGGCCCTTTACCGTTGACTCTTTTTTTGGTTTGGAAGTTTGCATTTGCACCCTCGGCTTCAGTCATACCAAGTCCGTTTCTGATGGCACCTTGGTTCGCAGGGTGTCGCAAAGCCATGTTTCGGATCCAACCCAGCAATTGAGTCGGGATAGGTTGAGTTTCATCAGTGCATGCGGTGGTTCTGAATCTACATGGTGTCCCTTTTCGTCTGCATTTGGCACAAACAAGCACGGACGTCAAATCAAGTTTGCGTCTCTCTTCTTTGGGGTTATGTTTGAGAAGAATTTGGCGAACATCATGCCCCGTTTGCGGAGCCCAAACTTTCAGGTTGTCAGCGACCTTCTGTTGTTTGAGCTGACCTATATGTCTGCCTCGCAGTTTCATATGAGCTCGAAGGCCTTTGTCAGTTCTTTGTTTCTTCCTGTACGCCTGAGTTGGATTTGTGTCAGGGTGTGCCTCGGCAAAATGTTTGCGGACACTAGCTTCGTGCCAAACTTTTGGCAACAGTGGGAGTCCTTTCCCGCATTCTGGGCAACTCCAGGCTCTGCCACTTTCAGGAAGTTCCGAGGTCGGGACTGTGATCTGAGTTTGAGCACCGAGTCGCGGGCATTCAGCTCTTTCGGAATCTGTATGTCTATTTTTCAGGTGTGAACTTTTTGCAGCTTGAAGCTTGACTCTCGCTTGCAAACCTGCAGGAATTCTGATTTCATGCCGGCAGTCAGGCAGCGGACAAACCCATACCTGAGGTCCTTGCGGTTTGGCAAGCGTCTTAGCATCCAGCCGCTTGAGGTGTCGAGGATATGGAGCAGTGTCAGGGCGAAAGTCGCATTCTGTGTTGTCATTTTTGACTGCGCCTTTGTCCTTAGTACCCGACCGGTCCTTGGTCAGGTTGTCTGTCAAATTGAGGTGAGTTTCTGAGGTTAAAGATAAAACCGAAGCTTTATCGTTCTCAGAGGGTGCAAGAAACTTCATGTCTTCAATCCTTGAGTCACAACTGCTTTGCTTGAACCTGCATCTTTTGAATGGTCTTGCAACCGTTTCACTCGGATGCTGCAACTGCTGGGATTTGATGGCAGCACGCGGAGGTTCGCAGGAGTGAGGGGAGGCAGCCAAGGTAAGAAGAGAGGGGGAGCGCGGAGGATGGGGTCGCGCAAGGGCACCCGAAGAACCACCACCCGCCGCATGGCCGTGCACAACCGCGCGCAGACGCGGAGGAGAAGACGCGGAAGGAACCAAGGAGTGCAGGGACGGCGCGCGCGTGATCATCACACCCCCACCCGAGGATCCGCGAAAGGAGGAGGCGGGGAGAGTATGGAGCGAAGGAGCATGGGAAGAGCCAGGGGAGAGCGTGTGCAGGGGTTTAGGCGATTCTCCAACGCTTGGTCCAGCGCCTCCAAGTGCTTCGGCCTCGGGTTTGGCTGTCTCTCGCGCCCAGTGTTTGGGCACCTTAGTCATGCCGTCCTGATCCTGGGGTGGTCGGACGGATTGATAATGTTTGTCGTTTCTGTACACCACCAGGATTGGTGCTTCTTTTTTCATTCTGGGCATCCCCTGTGGACTCCACTCAGGAGCGAAAGTGAATCTTTCCAGAACTTCATCTTTTTGATTCCACACCACTATGCAGCATGATTTCACCTCTGCTGCTGCTTGCAGCAGCAGTCCACATATCCAGTGAGTTTGCTTCAACGCATTGTCACAAAAGGCAGGAAAGGCCTCTTTCCCACCTCTGACATGGTTTTCGTACCTATCTTGTTGTTTGCGAACATGTCGTACCACTTCCGTACGAAATAGATTGGCATGTTTGATGCATTCTTCTTTGGAAAGAGTCTCACCAGTGGTTTGATAATGAAAGTTGTCTATTAATGCCCGGTACCCACATTCACCGCATCCACCTTGATCGGCCAGCGTCCAGTTTTGGGTTAAGGCATCCGTCAAATTACCAAGAGACTGCGAGGTTGGCTTTGAACTCTGCTTGTCAATCGCTTCAGGCTGAGTCTGAGAGTCCAACTGCGTTTTTTCGACTTCCATTGGGTCCTTATTTTCATCGCCCTTTTCGGGCTTCTCAGCGGCAGATCTGGACCGATGTCGCTCATCGGGTTCTTTGGCCTGCCTCTTCGCGGGGCGACCCCGCGTGTTGGCCGTCTGTGGAGGCTGATCCTTAATTTCATCCCATGTCTTCCTTGGTCCTCTGACTGCAGTGGTGCTGTTTGGCGCTGCAGGTTTATGGACCGAGTCGTTGACTATTATGGTAAACACAGTGGCACCTTCATACACCCAAAGACCCTGGTCGTATGGGTATGCAACAGGAGGCATTCCACAGGCGTTCCAAAAAATTTTCTTGTTGACCCTTCTTCTATTGTGAATAGTCATTTGGGTCCATCCTTGTTGTTTGAGGAAATCAACCAGTTCTTCCGCCATCCAGTCCCTGGGAACTCCAGAAATCTGAATTCGTTTGGGTTTCTTTTCGATGTCTTCATCTGATTTCTTTGTGAAACCAATGTCATTTCCCAACCCTTTCCGTAAGCACATCGGCTGGCCTCTCTCGCCTGAAAGACGAAGGCATCTCTGGTAGTATGCTTCATCGGTTTCATCTTTTTCGTGTTTGGTCCACACAAAATGCGGACGTTCCTTAGAGGTATCAATATTCTTATTGATAAAAATACCTTTTTTCCCTGATTTTTCAGGAGGGTTTCCGCATCTTTTTTGGTGAGCTTAAGCCATCCTACCAAACTTGAACTTTGTTTCTGCCATTCCTGTCTTTCCCACCTGCCACCTGTGAGGACATGTGCACGACATCCAAAAGTGGCCAAGTCAGAAATGACATCAACGACACGTTCCTTTTGGGGTTCAGATACAAAGAGTTCTCTATAGTGAGAGGGAACGACAATTCTGACCAATTCCCTTTCAACCGTAGTAACATTGTTGGGATCAACTTTAACAGGGTGAATTCTCCAAGGGTAGTCAGAGCCTAAACCGAGCAAGGCAATGTCTTCGACCTTGGCATGTTGGTTTGTCCTTTGAAGCCTGGTCCTGCTCAGTGTGATGCCAAGCTGATTCATTGCATCAGCTGACAAAACCAAAGTGAGTCCTTTCGTGAAACCAAAGCTTGTGTACAA